ACTGCTGTAAAAAGAAAAAGCAGCAGCTAATGATTTCTAGAGGAAAAGCCTCACAGCAAGACTTGAAGCTCAATGTCAAATAGGCACAGAGATTTCGATGTGGAAGAAGAGGAGAAAATTCCAGGTATAGTGAAGCCTTGCACTGGGAGCAGAGCATGACAAGGCCCCATTCCTAGAGCTGGAACAAGGCATTTTCAATCTGGGAGTAAAGACTTTCCACCCCTTGAAACCTTCCAGATCCATAGGTGGCTTTTAGCAGGAAGGATTTAGCCAAACTCAGGACCTCTACCAGCCTCAGAAGTGGAGGGACAGATCTTAAGGAATAAAAGGAGCAGACACAGGAATAAAAGGAGCAGACACACAGAGAGTGATGGGCTATGGGGGCAGAGTGACCCCACATCCTGCTGGGCAGGTGAGACTCAGCTAGGAAGGTCCATCTGGGTCTCACAACACATGCAGAAGGTGTTGGGATCAAGGGCTCTCAAGGAAATTAAGATGCCTTGGAATGAGTATCTTATCCCCATGGGAATAAATACCCAGTGGAAGCACAAAGCAGGTGTCCCACAGCAATGCAAGGGGCAGGGCAGGGCAGGACAGACCCAAGGGCTCTGAAATAGCCCAGTGCTCCTCCCGTGGCTGGTAAAAGGGAGTGCCTGGGTTTGCTGAGGACCTCTGGCTGCTCAGGGTGAGCTGAGGGCTGGCCAGGAGTTACTCCAAAGCACCTACATGACTGTCTGGAGGGTTAAACAGCAGAGTTCAGTCTTTATAAAGGCCCATGAGGAAACACTCAGCATGACTGTACAGCAGTGAGCAGACTGCTCTTATGTGGATGTGATGGTAAGTGAACAGCAGCACAACTCTGACACATCTGGTGAGGATGCAGCTCCATGACATGGCTGTCCCATCCCTCAGACCCTGAGATCACCCCAGGGATAAGCTCTGCCCATCCCAGCCCTGTCCATACCCAAGGCACTGCTGGAAGAGCTCACTTTGTGCTGCTCCCTTTTGCCTAGTTCCTCCCATCCCACGTGCTCCCTCCACCACCTTTCACCCCATCTTGGGGAACACATCCCCGAGAGCACCAGGGTACAAGGACCTTCTGTGAGCAGCCACGTGCCCAGGTACCCAGAGCCCCTGCGAGCAGAGCTCTGCTCCCACCTCAGAAATGCCATTTTCTGTGTTTGAGAGTGCTCTGACTGGCCTGAACCAGCACCATTTCCAGCGTTACCATGGCGATGGTTGCCTGGAAAATTCATGCAATGGAGATGCACAGAAGGGCAGAGTCCAGCAAGGCAAAGGCACCTGTGGCCAGTCCAGAGCTGGCACGGCCACCTCTCCCACCCCCAGCCCTTCCTCCTGCAGCCAATGTCCACAAACCCATCCATGCTCTGCGTGCCCCTAGGTCCAGCATCCTCAGTTTGGCTCAGCTAATGCTCCCCAAATATTCCTCTGAGTACAGAGGGGTTTGTTGGGTAGTTACAAGGAAAAAGCAGATTATTTCATGAATGGAAATGGGTAAGAAAATGTTTGTCGAGAAACAGAGCCTTAACCTCAAGCTGGTTTTGACATCCATGACCACAACTTGCTAGGAATCACAAGTGAGACAGGACAAATCCAAACATGATTCCAGGTACCAGCAAACATTGGAATTCAGAACCACCAAGTCCTGCTACTGCTAAACAGCAGGATTAGTGCAGCCATCCTGACCTAGGCCTTGGAAAGTTTCTGTGCTTTCCCCTCTTAACCTTTTCCTCTATGTTGCTATTTTGCAGTAGTTAGTTTGGGAATGATTCCATACCAAGCTCCCTCCACAACTGGCACATGGGCCCCAATTTCATGTTCCAAGGGGCAGTTTCATATTTGTGGCTTGCTGAGATTATTAAAGAGAATGGCATGTTTTTATTACCTGAGGAATGAATTAAACAGGAATCCCTCAGTCCTGAATTGACCTTCTAACTTCCCAGTGCTGGTGGTATGGGCACATGTGCACCTCCCAGCCTGGCACTGCCTTCCTTCCACTGCATCAGGTTTCACTGTTCCCCCTTCCTAGCACTGCTACCTCAGCCTCGCCTTAGGCTGCCAAATCCAAGGTGACCCCAGGCAGGGCTCACTGGCAGTCTGGGGGTGGCTGTCACATCCTTGCCAGCTGCAGGCTCTCTGCTCCCAGCCTGGTGTTGGTATTTGCAGTACAGGGCACTCTCCTGGTGCCCTGCATGCTGTGCCTGGCCTCGGGCCAGGAGCAAGAGGCTGGTGACCTTTGCAGATGCCTGAGGCAGTCTCAGGTCTGAGCTGTGCTTGGCAGACAGGTCCTTCCCCTGGCCTGGGGTGAATGTGCAACATCAAGCTGACAGTACCCTCCTTGCACCCATGGGTTCGTGGCATCTGTGCTTCCTGGGAACATGTCATGGAAAACTACCAGCTTCTCCTATTTCCCTTGCCAGGGCAATGAAGGAAGCAGCTATCCACCAGCCTGAGCCCACCTAGACAGGTAAAAACCACCCCCCAAGCAGAGCCAAGCTCTCTGGCTGCAGTCAGTGCTGCAAATGCACAAGTGTAAAACCAGGACAGGTCTAACACCAGGTCCTGAGCTATTCCTCCACCTCCTTGAGGTAACCTAGCAGGGGTTGTAGCCTGAACTACTCCAAATGCTGCACAGGGGCTCCCTCCCCTCAAGGCATTTGGTACTGTGCCCAGCAGATAGACAGCCCTTCATGCTCCACATCTGCTCTCTGGGGCTGCAGCACCCCTGGTCTGCAGTTTCCAGCTTTCCTCAAGGCAGCAGAGTATCTCCATGGGAGTACATCCTCGGGGGAAGCTCCATGCCACATCCACCAGGGGTGTAGGGGAAGGAGCAAGGGGAAGGGTTCTCAGTGAAGGCAGCATGAGAGAACAGAGGGCTCCAACTCACAAGTCAGGATTCACTACATCTCCAATAGCTTCCCCCAGAGAAGCTCCTGCTGCACTGTTGCAGTGCCCCGCTTAGCAGCCCTGGCTCCCAGAACTGGAGCTCTCCCCCAGGTCTGACCAAATGCTCCTGCTACCCCTCATGACCTATCAAACCTTCCTGAGGCAGCAGATCCTGCAGCTGCACAGTGAGCAGCACAGAAGGACAGTCAGGCTCAAGGTACCAGTCGTGCAGGTGGGGAGGACACGCAGCCAAAGCTCTCAGTTCTACCTAACTAAAACCTCCTACACCTGGTACAGAGCACCAGCTGCTAATTGCCCCCTCAGCCATCCCAAGGAGCCTCCTCACTGCTGAGGAGCTCTGAGGAACCCAGGAACCCCCACGGGGCTGGGAGCAGGATCCAGGCAGGCTCTGGCCTGGCTGTGTGCTGGGTCTGAGAGGCAGAGCTGTGCCAGCACGTTCCAGTGAAGCCATGGAGGGGGGCCAGGCCAGGGCCACGGGCTGAAGCTTTGCTCAGAGCTGCATTAAAATGCATGAGCTGTGCTAGCCTAATGATGAGCAGAGCTGTCAAACAAGGAGCTTGTCCCAGCTAATTATCTCTAACGAGGGCAGAGTGTCAGGGTCCCCGAGGAGCCGGGCAGCAGCTTCCCACTCAGCTCAGTTGCAGCAGAGAGAAGATAAGCAAATGTCATTGTGCTGGCCTAGCTGCACAATCATTAATTAGGCAAATGTGACCTTCTGTGCCAGTTTGCTCTGAGAACCTGGACTTGCTGGAGCCAGGACACACAGGCAGGCTGGAAACATCCCAGCTTTTGCCACCCAAACTGTCCCTCCTGTACCTCCTCAGAGACAACACAGCCCTGGTCTGGCAGCCCCTGACCAGCCAGGCCCACCAGTCAGGGGCTGCAGGGCTGTGCCACACTCACCTTGGGGCTCAAATACCCCTCGTGAGGGCTCCAACCCCTGCCAGGGCCCTGAGAGCAGTGCAAAAGTCTTCATGAAACACCACCACATTTAGACTGCATTCACCTCAACCACCTCCCTCACCCCAAGCCTCAGCACAGTCCTGCAGAGGCTCTGTGCTTACCCAGCCTCTGCACCACCTCTCCCCAAATCTTCAAGACACTGGCAATTTCCATGCCCCTGTGGTCCTGCTCCATTCCAGCGCAGAGGGGACCAGCCACATACTGCTCTAAAAGCCCAGGTTCTCTCTCATCAGTCCTGTGACTCACCAACCCAGGCACTGCTCTTGCCCTGATGTGCCAGGGAGGGAGAACATCCCATTCCAAGACATGGTTAAGCTGAAGTCTCTTCTGGAGACAACCAATGGTCCAGAGACAAGGCTTACCTGAGGTCCAGCCTGCAAGCTCTGTGCTTGTCCATCACCTCAGAGCTGAGGGGAATGATGGCAGAGGCTGTTTTTGATCCACCCAGAAACCCACTGTAGGACCACAAAGCTTCCAGACCACACTGGGGACACACAGTGCTGTTCATCAGCCTGTCATTATAATAAGTGCTTTGCAGTCCCTTGTTGACAGGCAGCAGCAAAGCCTTCAACACTCACTTTTGACTACATTTTTGTAACAGAAAAGATTTAAAAGTCACCAACTTCAAACAGAACCAGCACTGTAATCAGGGCTTGGTGAGCTGTAGGGCCCAGCTGGGGAGCTCAGGGGGTTTGGGTCACACTGTAGGGGCACAACCATCTCTGCTGCACAAGGCTGGGGACTGACCCAAGCTGCACCACCACTGCCTCTCACAGTCCCTGCTACAACACACTAACAAGCAACAAGTATCAGAGAAAAGTTTACTTGTATTCCTAAAAATACATATTTTATGTCATGATGAAGCTCTCCACAGCAGCCACAGCTTGTACAGGCAGGAGAACCAAACTAAGTCAGTCTGACAAGAACACCATGAGGCCACAGCACAGAAACTCTTTCCTCAGCCCACAGGAACAGTTCCTCACTGAGTTTAGGCTGTCATTAGACTTCAGTAAGTGTAACATGCTCCTGGGCAGGCTCTCCATGTGGTCTCTCCCCAGCAGTGTGGTTCAGTCAGCAGAGCTGAACCTCACTGCTCCAGCCACAGCAGAGGTGTTGCTCCGAAGGTCTCTCCTTCTACTGCTTCTGCACTGCCTGTTCTTTCAGCTGGTTGACGAGCTCTTCAGCATACACCTTGAAGAGTGGGACTGGGTCCTGCAAGAAAGCAGAGGATACACCACTGAAAAGGAGTGAACCTGAGCAGCAGCAAGGGGTGAAGTGCAAGGGGGAGCCCAGGGAGCCAGTGCTGCAGGAGTGCTGACAGGTGAACCCAGAGGGAGGTGTGAGCAGGCTTTTTTCAGGGGCTAAACAAGGCAACCTGCCATGCTACTCCTCCAGCCACAGCTGCTGCTCAGCTCTGTAATCCTGCCTCAGGCACCTCTGTGGGACATTCAACAGCTTCCCCACTTCTGACAGTAGATGAGAATCATCAGCAACTCCCAGGGATCCCTTTCTTTCCTTCTGAAAATCTTCCCTTCCTCCTCACACTGCCTGCCATGAGAGCTGTGCTGGACACATGGGTGAACACATCCCATGAGGAAGCTGAAGCCCCACAGGGTTCTATGGCTCAGGAGTGCTCAGGCTGTTCAGATCAGCTGGCCATGCACCCATGACACCTCAGTGCTGAGCACTGCCTCAGGAACTCACCTTTTTTTCCAGGAGCCTCTGTTTTTCTATGGCTTCTTCTAAACTCAAGCCAACCCATTCAGCTTCCTCTTCTGGGATCACAAATTCCTGTGATAAAAGAAGGAGCAGGTGAGCAAAATGCAAATCCTCTCTACGCCCAAATCACACAAACATGTGATCCAGTAGGAACATTACTATGGACAAATTTTAAAGCGCTGTTCCCTCATTTCTGGCAACCCAAGTCCACTTCCCTTCTCTCCTTTTCCCTTAGTGAGAGTCCTGCTGCTCTGATCAGTTGTGTCCACTGCTGTGCCTCTCCTTTGAATAGTTCTGGGGCTGTACCTCAGCACAACTCCATGGATTGTGGGTGCTGGTGCTGTTTCCAGGCTGGCACTCACCACCAGCTGCACAAAACTGAAAGCCACATGGGCACTCTGAAGCTCCTCCCTGCAGCACCAGGACAAATTCTCACTGCTTGGACAGTGCCAACTCCTTCCAGTGCTTACTGCAGACCCTCACTGACCTCAATCACAGCAAAAATACAGGGTTTGTGTTCCTAAATCAAAGTACAGAAATCAGGAGCCCACAGAGAGGCAAGAAAAAGCTGATGATGTTGTTATTTGCTTTGCCTGTACTCACATCCGGCAGCACAGGAGCACCAACACCAGTTTGTGCTGTGACAGGGCAATTAGGGCACTGTCAGCCTGGACAATCAGCAAACACCACTGCAGGCAGCAGGCCAGGAGCTGCAGGCCAGGCACCCACCTTGTACTTGTCATAGATGGCCTCTCTCTTGGCTGGGTCGTCGGGATGCAGCTTAGGGTCCCTCCGTGCCAGGCGCAGCAGCATCGTTCGCTTCAGGTCCATCCCCAGCTTTGAGCACATGTCAGCCTTTGGGGTCTGGGGAGAGAGCCTGGTGTCACCCTGCTCCAGGGCACACACAGCACTAGCAGCTCACCCACACTGTACAGCTTCTCAGGACACACAGTACCAAAGGGGGAAATCCACTGGATTTGTTCCATGGCCAATTCAATCACACTTCTCACTTTTAATACCAAGAGTTCCAGCTAAGAAGGTGTTAAAGGGGAAGTAAAGGGGCAGCACTGATCTCTGTGACCAGGGACAGGACCTGAGGGAACAGCTGGAGCTGTGTCAGAGGAAGGTTAGGCTGGATGTCAGGAAAAGGCTCTTTCCCCCAGAGGGTGGCCGAGCACTGAACAGCTGCCCAGGGCAGCGATCACAGCTCCAAGCCTGACACAGCTCAAGGAGCGTTTGGACAATGCTTTCAGGCACAGCGTGGGATTGTTGGGGTGTCCTGGGCAGGGCCAGAAGTTGCACTGATGATCCTTATGGGTCTCTGACAGCTCAGGATACTCAACGACTCTCTCCCTGCCTGCCAGCCCGTGGGGAAGGGCAGTGTGGGCACAGCC